TTATTTTTGTTTGTCTTAAAAACACAGAACAGAATTTCACTTCACTGGAGTAAATGCACTGTTATTAATATTTTGTGCTGTGTTTTGTATCCAGGTTTCAGATTGTGTTTTCAAATCTGCAGTGAGGAAATGTTGATAAGAATTTCTTAGAGGAGAAAAAACAAACAAACAAACAAACAAGTTTTAATGGCAGAGAACTAAACCAACAGGTGTTACACTGACACAAGTGGGCACCTGAACTCTCTTGCCAGTACCAAAGCACATCCTGATCTTTTTGCCCAGAGTTGCTGTTTTTGACAAAGCTTACTTGACCTGTATTATGAAAACCCTTGTTCCCACGACTTGTATAAACTGCAGTTGTATCTTTGCCAAATGTGTTTCTGCTTTGCCATGTACTGAGTGCCTCTTCTAGTGTAATGACTGTTTGGAAAGGTGTTTTTCCAGAAACACTAGGTAGAAAAGCAAGTGTTGAAAGGGACTGTTGATAGATGAGCTTCAGTGTTTGTGGAGTAATTAGGTGAAAATATCCCAGAAGTGTTGTTGACCTGTAGTAGCTGCAGATATAGACAAACTCCCTTAGTTTGGGTTTGAGTAAAAAGTTTAAACGTAGTTCGTCATGCTGTAAAGAACCTCTTCTTTCTGTATGTCACTTAGTAAATCAGAATGAAGCAGAACATCTTTGATTATTGTATGAGAGATTTCCTTGGAGACTCAGGCTAGAAAGAGTATGTGCATTTCTGCCAAAAAAAGGGTCAGCAGTGTTTGCTTTAAATGTTAGTTGTTTGTTTTTTGTTTTGTTTTGTTTTGTTTTTTCACAAGTTAGTTTTAAAATACTAAATATGGATTGCAAATGTTAAGTCAAAGATTTCAGAGAAATATCTTAAAGCTTCACAGTGTTCTTTTCTAGAAAACTTGAAGCTTTCAGCTGGGCTCTATCTTTTCTTAATAAAGAAAATTCAAAGTAATATTTTAGGGATAACCAAGTTAGAGAAATCTAGGATATCCCTGAGAACTAAGAATAGATCTGTGAGGTAACTGAACCATTAAGAAAATGATATTAGCTGGTGTAGAAATTTATTTTTTAATAGCAGGCCAGTGAGCATGCTGTTTTATTTTTTTTTCTTTTTCTTTAATTGTCTCTGTGCTGCAATCACTAAAGCTATGGAAACAAAAACATTGCTAAGCAGATATTGTACTAGAAAATGGGTCCAGTTTATTAAAAGTATTCATCTCATTTAAACGATTTACTACCATTAAAAAAAAAAAAAAAAAGGCCTTACTTCCTTCCTCATAAAAGTAAATATATCTCAACTCCTAAAATTTAAAGCTAGGATATTGACAATGATAAATAATAAAATCTGTTCTCTTAGTACACAATAACAATCCATCTGTATGAAAATTCTCATTTTTATATGGATAGTAGAAATTAAACACAGAGGGAATAGGGAATGGCAATCCTGTATTGAAGAGCTTAGCTTTCTTGTCTAATTTGTTTCCAATAATGCACATTTCCAATCTAATGCACATTTTCAAACTTACTATGAAGCAACTTCTGCAACCTTCAAGAATCATTATTTTCTCTATTTTATGGCTAAACCTAATGAACTATTTTCATTGGGTTTTACAATTTTCTATTATACCATAATTGTTAGGGTTTGTCATAATACTTTGAAGCTTCTTGAGGCATTCTTGAAGACAAGTTTTTGTTGACATTGAAACAACGCATGAAATGCTGTCACATGAACTTAACACAACCACTGACAAAATCTATGGTTTCTACTATTCTGTTTTTATGTTATATTTCCCACTGGAACTAGCCAGCATGAATTCAGCAAGTGCAAATTGTGCTTGACCAACTCAATTGACTTCTGCTATGAGATGAATTGCTCTGTGGATAATGGGAGTGCAGTAGATACTATTTACTTGGATCAATGTACCTGCTCTTCATTTACGTCTCCCTTGGAAAATTTATTTTGTACTGATATTCATACAGACTTCTTTTCAGAGGAAGTCTTTGAATATTTCATACAATTAGGTTTTTACTTTTTTATTATTATTTTCTGTCAGAAAACCTGAATCATCATCATCATCAACAACATTTCTTGTTGATTTTTAAGATGAATTTATTATTATATAAATTGATCTCTAATGAAGTTTCCTTTAAGCACTTTCGTCAATAACAAATATTAACACTTTGAAAGTACCTTGTTATATGTAAGCTGTAGGTCTGGAGTTAATGTAGGCCCTGTAGGATAACTAGATGGAGAGGCTGAACGCAGAGGGCGTTTCTCAATGTGATAGTTGTGAGAGATTTGGAAATTGCGTTATTCTTATCTCCTTTTCATTAGCTTTTTAAAAATACAGTTTGCTTTGTGAGACAGTTTGTTAAACATCTGAATCTAGTTTACAAATTTATTTCTATTTATATTATATGAGCACAGAAGTATTTAATGGTCATATACCAGGAGGAATTTGTTTCTTTGTACATCTAGCGTTTTGGGATGGGAAGTCGCTCTTAGTCAAAAGAATGGTGAGTTAGTGTACAGCAGCAATACGGAGCTAACTCTGAGATCCCAGATGCACAGTATCTGTCATGCTCAAACTGGCAATAAATACCTGTTTTTTTTTTCAGTACGTGTATGCAGATCTTTAGAGAAGTACTTTTTAACAGTTTGTCTTGTGTGGTAAAGTGCAAGACAATTTTGTAGCACTACCAAGGGGAGTGGCATCCACTTCAGCAGCTACTGTTTGGTCTGATGCTCATCATGAGTCAGAGCCATCAGCTGTCACAGTTCAGACTAGTGTATTAACATTAAGGGAAATCAATGATAATTAACATAATTATTGCAAGTTGTGAATGACAGCAACTAAAATGGTCAATCTTTTACCAGTAATGTCTGTCTGTAAACCTTTAAATATGCCCTAGGGTTTGCATGAATCATTTAACTGGGCAGAAGGCGATTTTACTTTTAATAATACTAATAACAATAAGAATGCTAGTCTGATACTACCATGGTACTTATGATGTGGTTCAGAGTAATTTTCAAATAAAGAAAGGTGTTTCTCTAAAACATGGAGCTCACATCGTTCTTACTGGAAATCAAAAATGCATTTATTAATCCAACTCTTCTAAGAAAGTCAGATGAACCTTCCATGGTAGTGATTATAATGGCATAAAAAGCCATGTCAAAAATTGCAGTTTGGAGTTTAATGCTGAGCACAGGTAAGAGAAGCAATAATTCATGTCTGTGCATTCTGCTTTCTGAATGTGTAAGGAACATTTTTTGACATAGACTTTTAAAACTATTGCTTAATATTTATGCATGTGTTCCTCTTCAAAATTTTCTAAAATACTACAATTACTTTTTTTTTTGTTTTAATGCTTTTTAAAAATACATTTATGAAAAATATTCTGTGCCAAGTTAGCTAATTCCAGGGACAAGCCTTATCTCAATCTTTGAGTCCAGCCAACTGATCCAGTTACATATATATATATATATGTAGAGAGAGAGAGGTTAGGCATCATGCGCGAATTCTAGCAATTCATCTTGATTCCATCAATTCTATCATCAGTGGGGGTAAATGAAATGACATAACAATTCTAATTGTTTTGGTTTAATACTGCATAATTTCAACTACATTGTTATTGAAAACTGTTGCAATTCTAAGTGAGATACGTAGGTATGAAACTAGTTAGTTTGCTATCAAACTACCATTATTTAATATAAATTATTCATACACTTTGTTGTTGAACTTATTTGATATGCAGTGAAATAATCTTGAGTAGTCATTTAACAGTTTTAACTTCAAATTGTAACTCCCAGTTAATGTTTAGAATTTATTCTTTCATATGTATTAATATTGGATCTTGTTTATTTTGACATCTCAATTATTTTTTTCTCAATTTTTCTGAAGATTCATTTGGAAATTTGGAATAATTTCTCCATACACAAGGCATAATCATGTATTTATAAACACGCCCAATATATGTATTCATCTATTTTAAAAAAAAAAAACAAAAGATAGTAAGTATATTTATTATGTAAAAGTGACATATTTTGATGTCAATTTACAATTTGAAACCTCAGTCTGGGCAGAATAGTTTTGATGTGTCCAGAAAAAATGAGACAAAACTATCATTACATTGTTGTTATTAATTTCAAGAATTAGTTCATTTTAACTTTTCCTTAAAATAAATAACTAATATAATTATAAAAATAAAATAATAATAAATAAAACATAAATAAAAAATCACATCTGCCTGGATTAAATCTGTCCTGATTGCTTCTCGGATACCTTACCTAAGTTAGATTTCTGTTCATATTTCAGTTAAATTATCATGGATGGCTTTCCATACTTTTGTCTGTTCCCAGTAGCAAACTTATTTGTTAAATGTATTAGCTCAGATGATTCTCTAACAGTTCTTAATGTCTAGTTCATATGTATCCATCTGTAGATTGCCATCCAACACATTTAAATTAAAGTTACAGAAGATATTTCTGCTGCTTGCTGCTATCTTCCTTATCAGTCTTATAGAAAATACTTTAAATTATAGTATGTAACAAACATGTTACAGATTTTGTAAGTAGCATACAAAGTGCTTTGTATTATTTTCATAAATAGTGTCACAAATATTCTGTCATTAAATCTTTTAGTCCATCCTTGCATAACCTTTTAATCATTTATCTGTGTTAATCTTAGTTTGATACTTTGTTTCATTCTGTGGACTGTTATGAAAGCAATTGAATATTCAGAAGAATTGAACAATATATGTGAATAGAGTAAATGTTGGTCATTTACATTTTTATTACAAAATATTAGTACACAGAATATATGTTGAAAGAAGTTTGATCTGAACCTAATTATATCATGTAACTTGATATTGACTGGACCATTGTTAGTGACTGACAGAACAGAGCCATTAGTTAAAGTCAATTCTTTTTTCTTTAGGGATGTTTTATGCTATACTAGTGATTAAACACAGCTTCTCTCTGTTCTAGCCTAACCTGATTGTATCTGACCAAAACAACAGCCATTGTGAATGTCTGCACCTGTTCATGTAAGTATGGACTCTGGTCCAAAGTATTCACTCCTATTGTAGCATTCCCAGTTTATTTCACAACACTGTAATCCTTACTGGAAAAGGCTGTATGGAGTCATAAAAGCTGTATGACACCTTAAACTGTTTTAAAATTTAATCCTATTTCTTTGTTAGATTAATGAGAAATAAATAACATCCTTTTTCCCTAGTCTTATTTAATTTCTTCCCAGAGTATTTTTGCATGATAGTTTGGAAGGACTTATCCAGTTGCTCATAACACATGCCTGTAATGATTTTAATACTTACCTCCTTCCAAACTTTGCAGTTGACAGCACACCCCACAAACTTTATTTGGTTTTAAACCTTGCATTGAACTGTTTATAATGCTAGTCTTCTAATGCATGACAGATACAAAATATATCCTAAATTTCACTGGGTCAGGTGAAGTTCGATACAACAAGGCAGTGTCATATCTTTTAGTTGTTCAGGATGACAGCTCAGACTACCTCAGGGCATATCATGCTGTTATGTTACATGACATCTTTGGAGTATACAATTTACCAGAGCTGTGTTGACCCGAAGATTGAATACTGTTAGTTTCCTTATTCTGATCTTCTTACACAGTGAAGCAATTTCAGCTTCTATCACATTGGCTTCACAAAAAATCACAAAGGGTCTTTTTTAACCAGCCATTGACCTCATCCCAATAACATGGAGCCGAGTGCATGTGTAGTTACTTGCAAGAGTAAGGCCCTGTATAATCTGCACAATGGTACATTAAACACTTCTGTTCTGCCTGTAGAAGACTCACCCATGTTGTAAGAATGTTAAATTTGATTTGTGGAGAGATGGGAAGCAAGGCACAATTGTTGCAAAATATGAGGTGGTGTTGGTTTCATCAACTTATGTGTTAAAAGCAGAAGCAATATCAAAAGATCAGCAATAAAGACATTAAATATTCAGCAATTTTTGGAAGTGAAGGAGAACGAAATGTTTTCTGTTCCAAAACTACCTGAGATACCATGCAGCAGGATGCATGTGTCAATGTCACCTTAACTTTTGAAAATGTTTCTTTAATCATGAAATCATAGGTTACAATTGGAAATTATAGAAATCATAGGCTCTCGTTAGAAGGGACCTTAAATATCTAGTTCCAACCCTGCTACCATAGGCAGGGATACCACCCACTAGATCAGATTTCTCGGGGCCTCATCTAACCTGGTCTTGACCACCTCCAGGGATGAGGCACACGCAGCCTCTCTAGGCAACATGTTCCAATGTTTTACCACCCTCTGAGTGAAGGATTTACTCCTAATCTCAAATCTAAATCTCCCTTCCTTTAGTTTAAAACCATTCCTTCTTGTTCCTGTCATTATCTGACTGAACAAAGAGTCACACTCCGTCTTTTTTATAAGAAATTTCATGCACTTACTAGGAGTGACAGATATCATTGATTTCACAATAAAGTGAATATCATGGTAATTAAATTTCCCAATACAACTCTCTAAATGGAAAACATTAAGATTTTTTGTTTGTTTTTAAAACTAATACAAACTTGTTTAACATGTTATTGTAATTGTTATAATTACTAGAAATGGATTTAGACTTTATCACAAGAGGCTCAACTAATGCATGGTTGGGCATTTTGCAAGAACTGTGATAAACTAAGAACACATTTGATCACAATTATATTATTATTTCATTTGCTGTGTAGTTATTTTAAGGGATTCTCAAGTATTTCAACTATTTAATTCCTTTTATGTTTTTATATCTCTTAACATCTTTGAAACATTTTTGCCTCTACTTTGTGGCACTGTCAGTAGATGCTATTGAAAAAATTGATTCCAGTTTCTTCTCATTCCTTTGCATAGTGGTAGCAATGACTGCATTCACATATATGTTTACAAAGCCTTCTAAAACACTTGCCCCAAAATGCTTTTTCCTTGTGTTGTTGTTGCTGTTATTTGTTTTTATTAACAAAGCTCCCTTTCTTCTTCAGTAAAGTGAATATCTCTAAATACTTCAGACTGTAGATAGTTTAGGCTGGTTATGATTCATGATAGGAAGATTGGTCCTGTGAAGGAAGATAAGTTGTTAGAAAAGACAAATGAACACTGTCTAATTCTCACTGGGTGATGTAAACAGTCACAGTTGCGTGGAAATTCTTTGTCATTGTTCTCATTGTTCTTCCACTGAGTCTGACATCTTTCACCTACAAGAGTCATTTTTTTATGTTTTTTAAGTGAATGTTCAAAGTCTGGAGTCTCTGCATTTGTATTGTCCTGGGGCTAAAATTACCTTGAGATATGATTTTAGGTTATCAGCAAAGTAGAGTAGTCACAAACCAGATACTATCAAATTGTTGAACTGCCTAGGATTCATTCAATTAAAATGAAAATAGAAAAAGAAAGAAAAGAGTTGTGGAAATTGCTACTTTCTGTGTAAAGATCATGCAACAGAGAAAAATATATTAAGCAGTCAATACTGCTTAAGCAAGTTATGTAGAGATTTGTTTTAGTCAGTCACTTTTTCATATTCAAACTTCTCTATGAAGTGTACGGTTTCTTGGAGGCACAAATGAGCATTCATTTAATGCATACTTCATTTGTTAGATCAGGGAATTTTCTGAAAACATTTGAAACTAAGGAGGAAGCAGGAGAAGGAATTTCAGTCCAGTAGAGAACTGGTGGAGAGGGATGCAGATGTAAAATGTGGAGAATGAGAATGAGCATCATGTTATTCGTAGGAAGGTTTTATCTTCATATTAATTTACTAATTTCTGGCAAATAAGTGATATAATTTGCTCAGTACCTTCTTTGATGCTTTTCAGTCTAGGTGACTAGTACAGGAAGCCGGGAAATTAAAGCTATTTGAAGTTGACAGATGCATTAAGACTTCATATCTTGTAATTAAAACTGCAATTACAGTTATCCATTTAGAGCTTATATAACTCTCTCTCCGTAAATGTGTGTGTGTAAGCATATATATATACCCACCTTCTTCCTCGCCCCTTTCACCACCATGAATGTTTTCAGAAATGCTTGATATAATTTTTCTGTGCTCTCATGTCACAACTAAAGCAATCATAAATTATCAATCAGGCTGAACAGACCATTATACGCTCCAGTATACCATAGTTTGGGAAAAGGTGTCTGAAGTACAGTCAAAATCTGCACTTAATTATTTTTGCTTCCATCTTAAATCCCTGTTTATTTACTTAGTACATCTTCTGTCCCTTTTAAGTGAAGATTTTCATTACGTTTCTTCGGCTGTATTTACCTCTTTAGCCTTCCTTTGTGAACTCCTACTGTAGATACTATAAAGATGAAACAGTAGAAGGGAAGGAAAAGTGTGCACCAGATTGTACCTAAATTAGAAGAGTGGGCTGCTATATCAACCCTTTGCAACCTCTATATTCTCACCAATGTATTTTCACAATGAGTTCACCGATGCTGACAGAGATGCGTAAGAGGCAAAGCTTGTGTGTCATGTACATGGCAAAAAGAAACAGAGATGGTTTTACTAAACTGACAAACCATTTTCCTGGAGTTTTCTTCTACAAACTTTTACTTTAAAATGACAGTTCCAAGGGTAACAGGATGTTACAGTAATTAGATGTAACCCAGTTTTGAATGTCCTTCATTAAGTACATGACAATTATTATTAAAATAGAACTGAACAGGTAAAATGTATGATTTCTTTAACTCTGTGTTGTGTTCACTTTTACGTAGACAACTTTTTGCTTATTCTTCATGCATCAAATAATCTCTTTGCATACCAAAGTATGCATTGTTTGTGGGATTTGGATGTGTACATATTTAAATAACAAAATGTAATATGGATATGTGAAAACATTTTTTTTTTGTTTGCCAGTAGAGAACATGGGCAGTCACTGGAACATATTGAAATCCTTATTTGATTAGACAGCAATAGCTGCATTTTACTAGACTATAACAAGAGAAGATGTTGCTTGGAAAGCTTTTAATTTGGGTCTGTCTTCCACTGCTCATATCTGTAACATTTCTGACTTTAGGTAATGAAAAAGATGGACCTTGCACAAAACAGAGAAACTTATGATTGACATCTGTAGTAAAAGAGTCACAGTAGTTCTCTTGAACATGATTTGGTAAAATCTAGTTGCTAGGAATATTCAATTTTTGCAGTTTTTCTAAGTGTTGGAATGGGTTCAGTAGTCCTACTGCTGTAGGACCTGCTGCATTAAACTAAAGAGTTGTGTGTTCTCTAGGCTTGGGAAGAATCTACTCTGTTCATACAGGTATTTTCCCGTTTAAACGACAATTTACATGAGGAATATCTCCCTGATAAGAAATAGAAAATATTAAAGAGAGAGATAAAGGCTTACTTTTTCTCAGTCATGCCTGTGAAAATGTAGTAAGGAAGAAAACTGGCTGGTGGCTTAAATACGTGTAATAATGGATAACAGCTATGAAATGGACATATTGTGGTTTGTGTCATTATTTTGATGAGATGACTACTGCGTGCAATGACTTCCTCTGCTGTCTGATGTTTTCTATCAGTGATGTGACCTTTGTGAGGCAGGCTGACAGCTTTATTGAGAGTGAAAGTCTAACCACATATGCAATTTTTTCTTCCATATGGTTGTAGACATGCAATTATTCATCACAGAAAATTAGAAAAAAAAAATCATAATGGCTTTACCATGCAGTTTCTTAACCAGTGAGAAACTGGAAAAAAATAAAAAAAATACATGCAAGGCATTAAAGGAAAATTGTGATTCATTTTACCATTCATAGTGATGGCTGGGGAAATCTGGCAATGCGTATGAAAAAGATCTTTTATTAATTAAGTTTATCATCAAATAGTTCAAATCCTGCATGATCTCTCTCTAAGTCCTTTTTTCCTTGCTTGTGCTTAGATGCAGGGAGGGGGCTTTATTTTACATCATCTGTAACATCCATTTCCTTTCTAGCCAATTGTAATTACTGCTGCGTTTAGATAATAAACGAGTGGATGTTGAATAAAACCTTTCTTTCCTATATAACTTACTGATGATAAGCATATGAGTAACCTCATGTGAGCCAAGAGTGTTTCTTCATTATACATAAACTTCATAAATCTTTCCTGCTTCAGCCTCAACATGCCAGTATGTATCTGTATTTTTCTGTAAGCTGCAGTTTTTCTTTACAAGAAGAGTCTACACTGTAAGTCATGCATAGAAATAAGTGGATACATTTGAGCAAACTGAAAATTACTTGTTTTTATTTATTTTTTACATGTAGCCCCCAGTCATAAATACTTCAAATGTTCATAAGAGTACTTTACTGGTATATATAGGTATTGCACAGTATACTACTATTAACTTAAAATATAGAAGAAGTGGAGAGAGCTAAAAGCACCTGAATATTCATTATTTGGCATCTTGATTATAAACAAGGTATAAATAAGTGGCTGCCTGCATTATTTTCAGTAAGCATATAAAATTAATTTCTTAATTTGAATTTGTTTGTTCAGATTAATTCATTCTAAACCTAAAAGCATATTTTAACTGTTTGCTGTTGAGAGATCACTTTGTTCAAAGTTTGTGCATCATTATCTCTGGGGATAATATAAGCCAACTGGATAGCTATCGCATGTGTAGACCATAGCCCAAAAACTCTATGTTAGACTTCCCTTAGGGGAAACACTGTTCCCGTCACTGCCCTTAAGCCAGTCTCAGTTTTATTTATTTTGAATAGTGATAATTTATTCAAAACTACTCAGGTTGACTTAAAGAATTGGTTAGAAACTAACTCACATATTATGAGTCATGACATATGGATGTTTATATCCATAGCACTCAAAAGGTCTGTTTCAGATAACAATTTCATTTCATATATGTGTAAAAACTGTTCTAATACCTTTCAAGAACGGGTCCCTTTCTGAAGAGTTATTGCAATTGTTCAGTCTTTATCAGGGAAATGAACTATTGTTGTTTGTTTGTTTGTTTGTTTTTTACCAGGTCCAACGCTAATTCTCTTTTCTGTTGTAAGGTACGTTTGGAACTGCACGTTATCATAGATCACATAGTATCTTTCTTGATTTCCTTTGCTATTGTTATTTTGTGTACAAGTTCATGCACACAGATGGCTGTCAGTTAGGTAAATGACATTTAGATGTTTCTGTCTCCTGAAACTTATCCTGAAGTTGTAAACTTTGGCTGATGCAGAGAATTTGAGCTTTGTTATGATTTGTGCACATTCTAATGTCTAACAGTTTAATAACTGCATGCTGCCTCTCTTCTACTTCCTAATACTGAACAATAACTACACTTGAAGGTTGCTATTTTCTGCATGTTATTAAAAGGAAAGTTATGCCTCGAGGCAGTTTGTAATAATTCTGCAGTCGAAGGCAGAAATCAGAAGGGGCAAAACTGATCTGACACTTTTTCATCTCATGTGAAACAGTAAACGTATTAACTTTGGTTCATTTGTGAGTAGACATAATTTGGAATTAAATATTACAGTGTATGTAATCAGGGTTTACTTCTTTAAGCTACTGAAACAGTACTGTTGAACCATATATTGAACCATAAGCAGACTGAAAAATACTGGAGCTTTTTTTTTCTATTCAGTCATTTAGTACAAATCGTAAAACAAAATAGCAAAGTATTCTCATTAAATTTTGCTCACATCTGAATAGAAATGTTTTGTTATCATTGCTTAAATCGGATTTAAGACATACAATTATTTATTGCTATTCATATATTTATTTGACCTAACAGAGTTAATTCTATAAAAACTTACAGTGAAATAACCCCTTGAAATACCTCTGAATTAGAAACAATTTCATGGTTTCAAAAAGTTGAATTTGCGTATATACAGAAGGTCCTATCATTTGGTAAGGGTCTATCCCTTCCTTCCTTTCCTTTCCTCCATCTTCCTTCCTTTCCTTTCCCACCATCTCTCTCTTCTTTGGAGAGAAGCACCTATGTGTACAGGTACTTTTGTAAGAAGAAATATTTATGATGCAATTTTTATTTGCAATCTCTCATCTTATTCTCTCTATTTTCTGTAGGACACTTCAAAAATCTTTTTTTTTTTTTTTTTTTTTTTTTTTTCCTCCAGTACACAGTCACATAGCTTGAAGACTTACAGACTTCTTAAAATCCTGCTTTAGTTTCAGTGACCTGGCCTTTTCAGACTTTTCAAACATGCTAATGTTCCTCGTGAGAATTTCCTATTAGAATTACTGCTCAGTTTAATAAATATATGGTCTTTTTTGATATCTAAGTGGGAGTTGAATACCTTTGAATCTAGCCAAGAAATCTGTAGGAAAACCTAGCTTTTAAGTAAATGTTTGCCTAACAAACTACCCTGACTTTAAGCTTCATTCATAATGAAGTGCTTTTTTGGTCTCAGTCCAGCAGCCTTAGCACCTTGCAAAATCATATCACTGATTTCCTAGTATGCCATTATTTTTCATAAGGCCAATGCCATAAATCTATTCATACTTTACTGCAGATAACAAGTAGCAGATTTCCTTCACTCTTATCTTAATATGGTCAGCATAAAGCTGTAGAGTTCCCAGAGTTCATTTGAGTTCCCCTACTGGTGTCTAGGCTTATTCCAGGAAAGGAGGTGCATCTTGATAACTCCAGGATCTTGTAAATGCAAAAGAAAATATATAACAGGAAAACTGTTGTCATTTCAGGGAGTTCTATATATTTTGTTTATTGAAAGACCTGATCAGTCATTTGTGTAATTTGATGTGCTGCATGTTTAATGGCCAGAGGGGTATTAAATGGTTCTCTTGTTGCCTTTGCATTAATTTCAACAAAAGTGTTATCTTCAAAACTCAATGTCTAAAGTTTGTTTTCTAAACTTGATATAGTTAGCTGTGAGTTGCACACCTAAATAATGCAATCCTCCAAACAGGCTGGCAATTCAGCATCATCCACTGAAGGATCCACAAATAATATCAAGTACTGGAGAGCCAAAGACTACTGCAGGTATTTGTATTATATATTTAGATTAAAAATAAGATTGCATTATAGAAAGTAAAAGCGGTAATTTCTGAAGTTCCACCCAGCACAGCTATGAAAAACCCTCTGTTTCTTCCATTTTTCAAAAGATACTACTCCTTTTTTGGCTGTCAATACAGCTAGTCTAGAGAAAAAATCACACTTGACAAAATATTTCTCAACTGATCATTGTTCTAATAACTGAAGAACCGTAGTATAACAATAATCTAAAAAAAAAAAAAAAAAAAAAAAAAAAAAAACACTTTATACCTAATGATTTAGCATGGTAGTAGCTGACTTGTTGACAGACTCAAAGCTACTGGTATGTAGAAACACTTTGGAATGGGAAGACCAGTCCCTTTCATGGTAAGAACTCATTTTTTTCCTTCTGTATTAATAGAATGTTAAGCAAGATTTTTCCATTTAGTTTGGCTGGAATTTATTTATTTATATATTTATTAAACAATGAGCTGCTTTAGCCTTTAAAAATCGGTAAAGTAGATTTAAAATTTAAAGTACTAGTTACTAAAAGGAAATACAAAGAAATAATATAAAGAATCGTATGGGCATGCACTCTTGAATGGAGATTTTGGCTGTTGTGATGTCTTTTCAAGTTGCGATGCTGCTTCATGACAGACGCATACAGATGTGTGGCTGTAATTTCATCTATGTATGAAATTAAATTCAGAAAAGTAACCAACACCCTTACCTGATTTATTTCAGCTTTTCTAAGAGTATTATTTCTATTTAGAAATTGCAATATACCAAATAAAAACAACCCTAGAATGCAAGTCTTATACTTAAAATCTATTTTTAGCTGAGTTTCATTTAATTTTGTAATATAATGCAAGGTAGACTTAAAAATACATACTGTTTTGTTGGTATTTAAAATTATACATGGGTGTGTGCCAGTTTCTCTTTCCACATAAACAATTTCCTTCTATTTTTCTTTTTGTGATCTGTTTTCTTATTCTTACTGGATTGAGGTTATTATTATGTTTTGCCAGAGGCTTGACTTGTATGTGGTTGTGTTTGTGGAGTACTTATTTTTAATGCTAACAGTTCTGATTAGGCTAGTTTTGTGAGTTTGTCAGCTTTACATATAATCCTGCCTAAAAACTTGCATTCAGTCCTAATCTCTAAAATGGTACAAAAAATAATCACTAAAAATGAGGCTTCTTACAGGGTTAGCTTAAATCCATTTTATTATGAAACCAATCACTTTTCCTTTCCCCCTTTCTTGTTTCCAGTATGGATTTTATAAATGATGCTTTTTTTGCTAGCAAACATGCAAGATAAAGTTAAATACATGTTATGAATCTTCCTGTATGGCTACAGCTGAGAACTCAATTTTTTGACAGTATAACTCTGCTCACTGCTGATAAACTAAAAAAATATGCAAACAATTGGGGGTGGGAGGAAGGCACATCAAATTTTTAAGGGACTAGATTTTTCTAGTCCATAAACTGTTTTGTATTCTGAATGTTCAAAATACTTCCATGTTGAACTTACTCGGAGAAAAGAGATGGATAAACAAGATCATTTTGCTGGTAGCCTGAGCAGTCACCGATGATGCAGAAGAATCAAACAATAATTCTTTATTCTGCCTGACTACAAGTCGTCCAGACAAGGCATTGCTTCTTCTACAGCCTAAGTGAATAACCTTACCGCTGGGTTTATGAACTCAGCCTTTCTCTCAGTGGTCCAGTGAAGGCTCAGCTATTTGTGATTCTGCTGCAAAACTTGTTGAGAGACTAACTCAACATTGAATATTGAGATAGTTCTAAGTCAGAACTGAACTTCAGTTTCATCATATTCACCAGTGAACCTGGCCTTCCACCAGGAATCAGACTGTGTCCTATTGTTAGGAATTTTACCACGATATTTCTTCCTGGAACTTCAGAAAATTTTTACATTAAAAATTCTTGAAACCAGTGGATCTTTCCCATGACAAAGCTGTGCATCAATACACTACATTTTCTTATTTAAGAACAGACAAATGAAAACATTCTGTCTCATGAAAGAAAAACAATTGTGACTGGCTCAGGAATTTATGAAGGCATATAAAGATGACTCTAACTATCGATAAGTCTATCGATAATTTTTTTTTTGTTGGTTTTCAAATCCTTTAATTAAAATAAGTGATACAAGTTTATCAGTTTGTCACAGCCATCCATAGGGAAACTTTTATTTCTACAGCAGTCTATTATCTTGATAAGCTTTTAAGTGTTATTACCTTTTTTTTTTTTAACATCCATCTTTGCTAAGCACGCCTATTTTTGAATATTTTTCACATTCTAAATGGAGGGGAAAAGAAAATCCTCAAATTGTAGCCTTAGTCTTAGGTAAAAGTGAAAGAATCCTACGTTTCTCAATAAGTGTAAACAAACCTAATATTTCAAATGCAAAATCTATTAATATACTTTTTCTTGCATGATAGAAAACAATGAATTATTTCTTGAAAAATATTGCATATTTTTAATTTTCTGTGACATGTGTGTTCACAGAGCATGACTTTGAATCCCAAACTATATGTAATCATTCATACACATACACAACATTTTTTTAAAAAGAGAAATATCTTTGTCTTGTATTAAATTACATTAATTACACTGCACTGGGCTTTAATTTCTGTTCTTTTAATCTGCTATGTAGAAAGGCACATAAGCATGGGCCATTGAGATTTTTTCTTCTGCTGATGTCAAAAGAATTTATATGCAGTGGAAACTGGAGAGGAAAAAAAAAAGCTGAAATATTGTAATATATAAAATATCGATATGAAAAACAGGTACATTAAACTATATAAATCATTGATAATTGGACCAGGTCTTGCTTTAATTTAATTAGTTGTGGCTGTCTGGCACTAATACCCAGAAAATGTTCTGGTCTTAAGGTCATTGTTCCTATAAAATACTAATATTCTAAAGGTTTTCTCCCCTTCCAGTTGTCAGTGCACCCATTAATTCAACTGGTTTAGGGTAAAACACTAGAAACTAGACAACAATTTGAGATTCCTCTTACCATATAATTTGGCTGGTAATAGTTATCCTCAGCTGGGTACAAGAAATCACCTTCCCATTGTCATTTTATTGACAGAAACGCTTCTCTAGAGTATGCAATTCCATGTAATTCAAGTGCTCTTTACCCCAGAAATGTATTTCTATAGAAAGAAACAGTATCTCTTTTTATTTATCATTTTCTCATAGTTTCTAATTAGATTTTAAACTTTGATACAGAATTTGTCTTTGTAAACAAAGCTTTACTAATAATCGTTGCTAAAGAGAACAGTGTTTTTTGAAAGTATAAGATGATAGCTGCCCAAACAAGGAGTTTCTTCCTTTTTTCTTTTCTTGGCATTATATGAAGTATCACTTTTTTTTTAGTGTACATATATATATATATATATATATAAATTATTTATTTTTTTCTGCTGTTTAATCTGGTATCACACATATGCCACCCAATAAATGTAGTAGGATGAAGTTCTCCCAATATCAGTGAGTTGACTCACAGGTTCATGAGTGGAATAGAAAAAAATCTCACAGGTTTTCAAAACTCCTGTTTCTACTCCTGAAGATGATAAAACTAAAAATATTAAAAATAGATGAAGGTACAGCAAAACATAACATTTCAAGACTAAAGCTTGAACATTATTTTTTTGCTTTATTGATTCTAAAGTGTTTTAATATTTTGAAAGTAGAATTAAAATTAAAAGATTACTTCTAGAGAAAAAAGTAAAATTTGAAATGTGGAAAACAAAACAAAACAAAACAAAAACAACTTAGCAATTGCATGCTAAAATATACAAACAAGTTTTCCAGAATATTTATTTTGCATCTGTGAAAGAGTGGGGCTGAATTGCTGAAATGCTATAACATAAAAACCAAACAACAAATCACCTACAATATTACTTATTAAGGATTTAGACTTTGTAGTAAAAAAAATAATAATAGTAATAAAAAAATCAGAAATTTATAATCCTGAACACTGTCCCTAGGATCAAATTGTTAATCACTCACAATGCTTGTAGAACTAAGCTATAGAAGTAAGATGTAGAAGTAACCTATAAGCCAAGTTAAGCAACTTGTGCGATTTGGGGCTGAATAAGATCCAGAGAACTTACCAATAGACATAGGCACTTTTTGGTTCTAAGATCTATGGACAGGCAGAGTTCAAAATGTTCTGCAGCTGGAAAGTGATCAACATTTAGTGGTTCCACACTATTTTTCTAAGATTCTTTTCTTCCTTTCCAGCTTGTAGTTTCACTCCTACCAGGCTCTTTTCAGATAATGTTGATCTGAAATAAAGGCAAAGCTCTTCACACCTGACACCTGAGTAATCCTTTTGTCCTGGGCACAGATGAAGACAAACAAGAAGAAAGAATATGCAGTAACTGCAAAACTTAGCTCTTAATTCTTCTTGGAACTGTAGTAATTTGTTCAGGGGAGGTCAAAATTTCTTTCTTACAGCTGACAGCTATTTCTGTAACAGTTGTGGGAGCCCTGTTGACTTGCTTTTCCTTAAATGAGTGGAGAAATTATGAAACTTTTTTATTATTATTGTTAGACCTAATTATTTTAGACCTAATTAGACCTAGATTTCCTTCCAGTTTTTTTTTTTTTTTTTTTTTTTTTTTTTCCTCAGGTCCAGGGCAATTCTGTTATGTTTGAGAAGCAGACTATCTTTGAGGAGAGCTTCATCAACCTGAAGAAAGTGCCTACACCAGGATTTCTCCTGCTATATTTTTAGAGAGCTTGGTGTTTCTCTAGGTAAGCTTTTTCTATACAGTGATATACATACTGCTTCTGAAGCACCTGCTCAAAGTGCGTAGGGTAATTCTGACATTTCTTCTTTGAGTTGTTTTTGTTTGTTTTTTTTCACTGTCATCATATGGTGATGTATTTTCTTGCAAAATCCTATGCTACTGCACTTTTGGGGACACTTGCATATGAAATCTCTCTGAAACGCATACTGGAAAATAAAGTTCTGGACTTTAAAGTATCCCAAACAATTTTCATCTGTTTCATATGCCTATTACAGTTAAAGATTTCAACTGCAAAATCCCACCTGATTCCCAAATATCCTGTACATCCTGTTCTTGCAGAACTAATACTTACATTTTTAGTGAATTTAGACCATGCAATACTTGCCTTTATGACCCTTTCATTTGCTGAAAGCTGTCTCACCACTGATGTATCAAAGTAAATTTATAGGAGAAACTGAAGAAAACTGCACTAGGTCCTGTAATATGTGGATGAATTTTGTTTGAATACTCTTTTTGCCGTTCCTGTGTCACTTTACAGTGAGTATATTTGAGAACTGCATCTTTTTTTTTTTTTTTTTTTTTAATCCAACCCAGTGAAAGTAAGCTGATCATAGGATATGATATACAACTTTCTAGCAACAGAATATCACTACTATCTTTCTGTTTTAAACCAACTGGGGCATTAATTTGCTTCATGATAACGTAGTGTTTCATTGTATCTTATATCATTAGTTTGACTCAGTAAAAGCTAACACAAATCAAAAGGAAACAGATCCTTTTACTAGTACTTCTTCCAAGCTGACTAATGCTTCTTTTTGTGAAATCTCTCCTAATTTGCCCTGCAACTATATCAAAGAGCTCCATGTCAGATGTAGCAGTCAGTTGTACACCTTACTGGGAAAGGAATAAAGAACCTGGAAGTCTATTTGCTGCCTGTTGTTACATTAGGTCAAATGACCTTTCCCATGATGTTAATGTCAGCTGGAAAAATAAAAGATTTTCAAAAAGACTGAATCTCAAAGAACCATCTTTCTTTACTTCCACTACCAGAGGTGGAACTGCTACACTGGACAATGTGGATGTGAAAATGCTATTGCAAATTAAAAAAATTTAGGTCAAAATGTGCCTGCCTATGTAGCTGTCGTGGTTTAACCCGGCCGGCAGCCAAACACCACGCAGCCGTTCGCTCACCCTCCCCCCTCCCTCTCTGGGACGGGGGAGAGAAATGGAAAGTGAAGCCCGTGAGTTGAGATAAAGACAGTTTAATAAGACAGGAAAATAATAATAACAAAATAATAATAAAAATAATAACAATAATAATACAATGGTGATAATAGGAAAGTAATAATAGTATGTACAAACAAGTGATGCACAATGCAATTGCTCACCACTCGCTGACCGATGCCCAGCCTAACCCCGAGCAGTCCGGCCCCCTCCCCCCCAGCCAGCCACCCCCACATATTGTTTAGCATGACGTCAGATGGTATGGAATACCCCTTTGGCTAGTTTGGGTCACCTGTCCTGGGTCTGTCCCCTCCCAGCTCTTACTGCACCCCCAGCCTGCCCGTTGGCAGGACAGAGCAAAAGGCTGAGATGTCCTTGGCTTAGTATAAGCACTGCTCTGCAACAATTAAAGCATCGGGGTGTTATCAGCACTCTTCTCATCCTAAGCCAAAACACAGCATTCCACCAGCTACTAGGAAGAAAATTAATTCTGTGCTAACTGAAACCAGGACAGTAGCGGAACTGTTGTCTTTGGTAACAGTTGATGTTGACCAAAATTATCTTACAAAACAAGTATACATGTGTAAACATGAACAAGTACTTCTAGAATTAAATAATAATATAATAATAATCCAAAATACGTCTTTGTAATATGATATGGTCTATTCATCTAGCTCTACATTTTGAAACTGAGCACAATGGCGCTGTAAAAAATATAAGTACTTTTAGTTCATCGTGGACAAAAAATATTTTCTAGTTAAATTGAACAGCAAATATTGACTGTCACCCACAAGACAAAAAATTGTCTTGATATAGAAAAGAGAAAAAAGTAGTTAGACTTCATTCCAAAAAAAGAAAAAAAAGCTGCAAAGTTGGATAGCTTGTGTAGGTTTGCATAATTTAATACTTATTTTAAACCAGTTTTGATGCTGAAGTGAATAGTTCACAGAAAAGTTATATTCCAGTAGTTTTGTTGCAGTAATCTTGTGTAGCAGGAGCAGGTCTCTGTAGACTGTTACAGGCGTTGTTTCATTTCATCATGACAATGAAATGTACAGATAGTCCCAACAGATTTTTTTCTGTCAATATGACGAGATTGGTGTGACATCTGCAAGCTCCTGAAATAAATGGGGAATTGGTATTCATAACATCCTACAGAGGGATTACAGTGTGCACTTAAGAATTCTTTTTAATTCACTATACTTTGGCCACCACACATCAAAATCCCTTAAAATTTTACTTTAAAAAATGATTTAGCTGTTTGAAAACTCCATAACTTCATTCTACCTATCAATATGACCAGCAAGGCAATCTGTATGGGTTTGTGAAATTGATCCAGGCTTCAGGTTTGTTTTTATTTTAATGTGCTATTCAGAGACGGGCTTAATACACTTGGAAATTACCCTTCAACTTAGAAACTTTCTAACATATGTAAAGAACACCTGAAAACATAGGTCTTAATTTGGATGAAAATGAGTATGTTTTGAAATGGTTGCTATGCTTTCTCTGAGTCTTAACAACATTATCTGTAGAACCAGGAACAGAACTGATTAACTGATTTGTTAAAGAAATCAGACTCAGTCTCTGAATCATCCCATGACCTGCTCATTGAACCGAAGACAGATGGATGTGATATTAGTTGTACAAAACTGGCTACAGAATGATGTACATTTAGCATGTCATTTTTACAGTCTTTTTAGGTTATGAGAGACCTATGACTTTGATTCCTGTCTTGAGTTTGTTCAACCCTGTTACAAGAGAGAACTCTTATTATCGGTTCTGCAGGGAGAAGTATTTCATGTTTATATTTTCATTCAAGAATGTTACCTTCTAGCATTAGGGAAAAAAAAAAAGTGATTTATAGATATTCTTTGGCTGTGCTGTGAATTATTTTAGTGCAGTTTGGCTCTCAACCTTATAAGAGGCCAAAGTTGTTATAGATGGATCCATTTCATCTCCTACTGAAATCAATGGAAAAACTTCATGACTTCATGGGGAGTTTAAGTAGCATACTGAAGTCCTTCTGAGAAGTACTATGTTGCCTAGTTGAAATATGCAAATTATATTAGAATTTGTTGCAATATCTGAATGATGTTATAGTTATGAAAGGTTTCAGTTTGTGTATGCTGCTGAAATTGAGATTGCACCAAGTTATCACCATTTTTATTAAACTGAAAATACATAACTTTAATAATTATCGTATCTTGTTTGACAATTACAGGAGGGCTTATTTTGATTTAGTTTTTCATTCCATAGTAGTATTGTTTTGCATTAGAGTATGGTCTTTGTCTCACAAGGTGTACTTGTTCATTTAAGATAAAAAAAAGTTACCTTTAAGTTCTTTTTTTTTTTTTTAGTAGAGTCTAAATACAGGCTGTGCCTAGGATATTTGCACCTACAGATACACATACATTTTAACTTTTTCATTATTCTACAAGCTTTCTGAAGTGATGATCATGTGTAAATAACATACAGTGATTTTCTGTTTCAAACTATAATTTTCCTTGATTCAAGTGCCATGGAAAATTTGTCATTCCATTGTCTTTTATTTTTTGCTAAGAACTTGTGAACTATCTTTGATTTACTTCTTTCTGAGGGAGTCCCTGCCTGGCAATAAATAGATAAATCTCTGCTTTAATGCTATTTCTCCCCCTTGGGTGTGTTTCAAATGCTTTTAACTAGAAGAGATTTTGCTGGAGTAATCCATCAGTGCTAGTAAGACCTTGTTCAAATTGTGGAAGCCAGTAGTAGTAAGATAACTGGCTCTGAAGGAGGTTAAAAGAACGTTAACCTTGACAAAAAGACACAACTGTTTCCCAAAAGGATGCTCTTCTAGGTTGGACAAGTTTAATTAAGGAAGCTGAGTAGAAATTGGAAATGTTCCCTGAATTTTCTAACAGCTGGGAATTGGTTTGGATCTAGATAAAAGCAGGTGCTTTTGTTTCAGGGGATGAAAAAAAAAATAAAAATAAGGTCCCTCTTTTGGTCCCTCTTTTGCTATTATCTATAAAGGAGTCAATTAATAATCCTACTACAAAATTACAGAAGTTATTATTATTATTATTATTATTATTATTATTATTATTATTATTATTATTATTATTCAACTGGTGTGAATATAGAAGGGGAAATCAAAGCGTCAGTCAGTGAATTTTCTGGTTCTCTACAGCTAGCTCTGATTTTTCAGATTTAGAATCAGACAGTAAGCTCATGGGATCAGGAAATGAATTGCTACAAATTAAAAATAATAATAATAAAAATAAAAATCTGTGACCACTATCATTTCAAAAAATATATAGTTTTATGAATAGTTCTGAATGGAACAATTATTTTATCCCTGGGATTTAGCTGTGTAACAACTAAAGTGGAAATCTGAAAATGGTAAGTGTTATTTTTCATGTTCTTCTTGTTTCATATGTAGAGCATGTACTGTATTTTCTTTTTCTTCCTATATTGTAATGACCGTTGCACCCTGGATATTTATGTACAGCTTGATTTTTATTTACAATATTACTCCTATTTATTATATAAGAATACTTTTCAGATATTTTTTAACAATAACAGGACTGAAGTGAAGAACACACTTCTAGGTCTTCAAAGGGAGGCAAGTATTTCATTATAACTGACTTCAACATATCTGAATGCTGTAGCATGATTCAGGAGCTTGATGTCTATGGCTTCTGGACAGACTGAAGGTTACATCTTACATCCATTACACCTTGCAACTCAGTACCAGGCTAGAGGCAGCAGGCCAGGTGTCATGTCCAAGTGTTTTATTGCTGCAACATAAAAGGAGATTAATTTATGCCCAGGAAGTAGAACCTAGTTATTCTTGCCTATTAATATGTGAATGGTTCCTAATCTTTACAATGAAATAAAGTGAATGTAACCACTTGACCTACTAGCATGGTTACTTGCCTGGCACAGCAATGTCTTATTCAATCTGTCATTCTGTTCCCGTGTATATATTTCATAGTAAGGTGCTGCTTCATGAAACAGATGGAAAGGGGGGAGCAAAGGTTTGCATTTCCTTGAACAGAGAAGTGGATTAATACCAGGTGAGATGCTGTTTTAACCATTGCTTATAAGAAATGCTTCAGGTGTGAGTGGTTGCTGACTCAAGTACTACAGATGATCCAGGCAGAAGAATATACTGTTTGTGGCCCTGAGTGCCTTGCTGGGTGTTGGATGGGTGCAGTTCAAATGAAAGTGTTTCTGAGCATTCCCTGACACAGAATTGGTGAAGCTAGGAACTCTAAAATAGAAATGTTGATGCCTACTGACTCCTAATCTCCTCTTCAATATTAGAGATTGTTAATTGTTTTCATACCCTGGGACATGCTTTGGTTGGAAATCCAGATCAGTGTGCAGTTTGGCAAAGACCGCTTGCAGAAATCAGTAGTCACCAAAAATGTTGCTTTAGCATTGGCTTTGTGTTATGTTTGGGAAATGGAAGAGGAAGCTGCCTTAAAAACTGAGCTATCTTTTAACTGGATGAATTCCCCTCTTTTTCAGCTGATACTGTGATCTAATGCTGAAAATTACAGCCACTATGTCAAATCAACCCCACTGGAATTGTTAAGATCAAAATAGATCACAGCTAATTCTAGTAATGATTAGTGACTATTCATATGAATCAAAACCTTGACATATGGAGATATATCACTGCAATCCAATATTTATCAAGTGATAGTTTTACACAAATAATGAAATGTGGTTATTTCCATGAGAAGTTTTTTCCACTTTAATGTTGTAATTAGTAGACTTGAAATTGCAATTTGTCAAAATGCCAACAAGTGAAAAATCTATTTTCTGAGGAATCCCACCTGTTAGTAGAAAGCAAAGAAGGAACTTAACTAAGCTGTCTTTCTGAAATAAATAATAATAATAATCTTATCTATATCTTAAAAGCACTCTAATATCCACATAGCCTACTCTGTCTCATTCCTCTGACCTTTTTTTTTTTTAAAGGCAACTCTGAGGAGAGAGGTTTGGAATCACCTTTTGAAAATAATATTATGTTTAAAGAATGGGAGAGGAATAAAGTTACTGCTTAAAAATATCATTCTAATTTCAACTTCCATATTCTTCCATAATTGCTTGGAAGAGATAATTAGACTTTGCGGAATAAAGAGTATGTTTATACTATATAATGCAGCCTGATGCAAGCTGGCTTTTGAACCAAAATAATTGACTAACTGTATTAGTGTAGCACTGAGAGGAAAAAAATAAATAAAATAAAAATCATAAGACTTCCTGAGAGGTTACTGAATATTTTGCAGTGGGTAGCCAGCCTTAGGTCATGTGCATACAAACTGTTCTTCGTTTTCTCTTTCCTCCTGGGCTCATCTTTTGGATCTGGTAACATACTGTGGATTTGCTGCTGCATGTTCTGGGTAGAACACATCAATCAGTAATGCTTGTTTCCAGGAGTTTTGAGGTGATCTAGACTAGCTCTTAAATTAGTTAGTCCAGATATTAGCTAAATTATTTGTTGTGCCCCCAGAATGCAATGACTTGATGTAGATACCTACTGTGAGGGAAAATACTGACATAAATTGTTTTTTCAAAGGTATTTAACTACCCGCAGAGGTTCAAAGGATTCCAAAGAACTGCATGAAAGATATCCAAGGCATGCATCATTTGTTCCTCTTGTTCCCTAAGGTAAGGAAAGGCAAAAATTTTGCTTCTATTTTGGTTTTAATCTATGCATGACTGCAGATTCATGTGTGTGCCCCCTCACTTTTTTTTTTCTTCCCATGTGCTTTTTATTTGTTTGTTTTCATGCTGAATGAAAAACCCACAGACCAAGCTACCCTATAATTCTGGATAATTGAGTTATTCATTTTAAAATCCTTAGCTGGTAGGAGGAAATAATCACTGTGCCTGTATGAATTAGGAAGGTGCCATTCCATTGAAACCAAGGTGAGACACTTTGTTTCTGGAATACCTGTGAGAACTGAGCTGTTGGAGAATGAATACCTTTTGAGATAAAACTAGACTAAACAGCTTTAAGCTTCCTTTTGCTTGTTGGTACCTGCAGTTCTGAACATTTTATTTGAAGTTTTTCTTTTGTTCCACATAAAAGATGAAAACTTTGTCCATCTGTTCTAAATGAAATGTTTTGCTTTAAAAAACAAACAAACAAACAAAACACACACACACATATTTTGATGGTTAAACTGTAATGCATTATTTTAAAAGCACTTGGTCATATCCTCAGTTGGTGTGAAATCAATTTTGAAGTTAATAACTCTACAACAGAAAATAATCTAACCAATTTACCTCTTCACAACATTCAGTTTTTGAGAGGTCCACCATTTAATAATATCCGAAGGAAAACACCATTTTTTTTTATCATATGAGTGATTGTATCTATTCTTTTTCATCTGTGAGACTGTGTATCCTCAGCTACTAATTAAACAGTCTGGAAAACAAGGTTGAAATGAATGATCTAATATATTTATATAGCGGCATTATTTAATATGTCACAGACACTTGCTGTTTTGGGTCCGCTACTGTCAGGATTTTCAAGTTGTAACATCTGTCCTGTGAGAGAACAGCTGTGGCCTTAAACATGATATTTCAGCTTTGCTTTCTCTGCCTTCACAAAAAAAAAAAAAAAAAAAAAAAAAGTCTAAATTGCTATGGTAAAAATATTCAAATTCAGGCATCTCTAAACTTCACTGCATGTGCGCATGTGGAGAATGTAGTACACAAATGACACCACTACTATTGAAAGGTGAACATCTGAAGATTGGCTTTATTAATAAAACATTGACACCAAGTACCTGAATACATTCTAACATACATACTTAATCAGTTGTCCAAGCAAAGCAATGAATCTGGAGAAAGTAAGATGATGTCACATTTTCTTTAATAATGGACAAATACTTCAGGGGATATGTTTCTATTTCCTTTCTGATTATGAGCAAATTTTGCAAAACTAAGAACATTTCCTTGAATGTAAGCTCTCTAATATTACAAATAAGTGGTCATAATCTATAAAATCTTGGACTGAGTTTTTCTTTGGAGTTGGTCAGTAGCACTGTTGATTTTGAATAATGCTGACTATAAGTAGTTTAGGAAATGCAGAAGAAATGAATCTTTAGCACTTGTAAGAGTAAAAAAAAAAAAAAAAAAAAAAAAGTTTCATTAATTCAAGGAATAATCACTGGATAATCAGTGATTTTAAAGAGGTTTACAGTAGTTCATAATAACTTGTTAAAGCAAGTGGCTAGAAAATATACTGTATATAATTATTAATATTTAATAACATGAATACACTGAATAGCATTACCTGTGGGCTGATGATAATAGAGGGCACTTAATTAACCCATTCATTAATCAGGATGGAATTTTCACAATTCTGTGCTTGCTGTTATGGAAAGATATAGAGGTGCTTCAAATAAATGTTAGGTAATCTCAGGTAAAATATGTCTATTTGAGCAAATAGACATTAGAATGACATAACTTTGAGAAATATTGGTAAGATATTTTAAATTTCAAAACAAAGGAAAAAACATTGAATCTACAAATACTGGAGAAAGGTGTGAGAGTGAAGCTGGCATAGTGAATTATAGAAACATTTTCATTTGTAGCATTTCTCTTCTGCATTTTCCATATTCAGCAATGATGATTTCTATATTCAGCAACGAGCATTGCTGTCAGAAACAGTAGTTCATGTAGGATGTACCTACAGGGTCCAGAAACCAATTCAGGGAAAGCCCATGTTTCCTAATTCCTGTTTCTAACTGCCTTCATTGTGGAAAAAGAGTGAGTATATACAAATGCATGTGAAACAAACAATTATTAATTTGGATATCTGTATGATGTTGCATCAGTACCTCGGGTTGCTGTTACGCTTGGAAATTATATGGGTCCTTAAAACTATCCTTTTGGTGGAACATGCCTACTGCTTACGTGATCTGATTTCAGTACTAAAGTTAATATGGTTAATATTAAAGTATTTGTGGAATCCAAGTTGATCTGTAATGTAGTCTTAGTTTTCTGTTGTCAATTACAAAGAAAAGGAAAAAAAATGCCTACTACTTGATGGCTTCCATCATTTGTCCATTTTCCATGGACAAACTGTTGGAATCTAAGGTCCTGTGGGATTTTGTCTCATGACTGAACCCTCTTGTATTTAATATGTAATGAAATACATATGAAAGTTTCCTCCCTGATACAAATTAAATAAATAAAATTTTGCTCCTTTTGGTAGCTCTACTCCTTTAAAGGAGAAGCCAGAAAAAATGCTTCTGTGTTGTTCCACACATCTGTAGTAACTGACAACTTTTGAAAACTAAGATTTCTCTGTCAGGTTAGACTTAAGTGTAACAGTGACTTCAGAACTGATGGGGAAGTGAGGATAAACTGATTTCCATTTAAGTGTGATCCAATGTGTTATAACCTGGCCTACTGTTTAATTTCTTGCATGTGCATAACTCCTGTTGATTTCAAAACCTGGAAAACGGCCTAGGGGATTATCTTCCTTATCTCCAAATTTAAATTTAGTGTAGGAGATGAAAAATGGCATTTCATTGCAAGCGCTCAGCAAAACATGGGAAAGTAACTTTAATTTAATAAGCCAATTATTTTCCTATTAATTAAATGTGTATTGATTGTTGCATGAACAATTATTGAGTTTAGCAAGTATGAAAGAGATTAATCTTCTTATCTAATTAGTAAAGAATTGCAGGGGCAATACAAATACATTATTAAAAGGTACTGTACTTGTGAGAAAGTTAAGGATTTATTCATAAAAAAAAAAAATATATGAGTACATATTGTAGAATTTACATTAGAATTTGGGGAAGAAACAGCTTGAGAAATCTGCTAGCAGACCACCTTTCCCAGTGCCTTAAGATTATATTTATATGTGTGAACAGACAATAATGGGATATGTACCAGTCACAATTATAGACGTTAATAGTCTATTTACTAATGTCAATAAATAAACATCTGTTTCCTTACCACCAAAGGACTGGAAACCTGCTAAAAAGAAAAAGAAAAACAAACAAAAAAATGCTGCACGTAGAGTAGACAGTTGAGGGAGAAATTCATGAAGAAAAAATGCTCTCTTTAAAATATTGTTTTCTATCCTGCAGAGTAGGAGATGTGTAGCAAAAGAAAGCACAGGACAGCTAGGATCTTTTCTGCTAGAGGCTATGGACATGTTAAACTTTTGGATAAATCAGGGCACTGAGAATGTGTGTGGATGAGAGGGATAAGTGGTGCAGGCTGAACAAGGGTGAATAGCCCTTTCTGCCTGTACATAGCACACACAGCACTCCTGAAAAAGCTTACTCTGTAATTGTTATGTAATTGTTAAATGATATAAAATTGGAATGGTTTCACGGACAAGGATGACTGGTTTTATAAGGGATTTTTAAGGAGATGAACCACAAATTTAAGTAGTTCTGGGCACTATTTTATAGCTCTATTGGACAGATGAGGTTTGTGGGTCATTTTGAAGCATTTGCTAGCTATGCAAGCAAGTAATGTGTTTAATTCTATTTTCATTAATGAGAAAGGGACTGTTGAGATGTGTCCCATAAAATGGTCAGGGTAATCTGGTGAAAAATTGTTTAAAGCAAAACAAAATCAATTGAAGAGAGAGTGAACTAATTTGTGTTGCTGCAAGATTATGATCAGGAGAGACTTGAAATGTTAATTCAGAAAAACTGTAGTTTAGCAGGTGTAGTCAGACAGAATTAACATTATAATATACATATTTTTTCACTGAAAGATTTCATTTAGCTTTCTAGCTGTTAAACACAATGGAAATAGATGTGTAGAAGTAAAAAGAAACTAGAAAGGAATTCTTAGAAATTTTGAGCATCTTAATGAAAGAACAAGGTATTTTTTCAGATGCTAGAAAAGAAAATGTCTTTGCATCTTTATAAAATATAATTGCTAAAGATAAAAGGTGCTTGGGAATCCTTGGGAAAATTTCTTCAAGTTGTTTCAAAGCCAATAAAAAATTCATAAAGCTTCTCAAAATGTGTTATAGAAATTCAGTATACCTAACAGTAACTCTTTCAGAACATATAACAGTAAAATGGCTTGTCCAAGGTCAAAGCAGATCAACAGTTTCAGTGTGGATCAAATCCTATGAACTCTTGTTTTAGTTCTTTGCTTTTGTTACAAAGCTGTTTTCTATTTCTTTAGCTATGGCAATTTAAAGCCAGTCAAATACTTGTGCATATTTCATATTTTCTTCTATAACATCTTCAAACTTATTTGTTTTGTGAAATAGAATGAAACAACCTCTGTCTCAATTTGTTTGATTTCACTCTCCTTCAAGCATGTCCTGATTCCAGGTCATAGGCTTGTTGTAAGTTATCTTGCCCATGCTTTTCTTCCCATTCACAGTTTGATGCTGTGAAGGTAGGGGGAATTAGCAGTCTTCTGCAGCAGCTGTTTCATCCACTGAAGACATGGACCGTGCATTACTGGCTTTTAGAGTGAGAAGCCAAGTAGTGCCCTTTGACCTATTGCTCCTGTGTCAGTAAAAGAAGCTGAAACAGCTGTTTCTCAGAGGACAGCAAATGTATCAACAAAACACTTTGAGAAAGCTACATTGCACACATCTAGGCTCTCTACCTAGATGTAGCAAATGAAGGCTATTTTGGGTTGACAAGTATATAATAACTCAAGAA